TATATATAAATATATCAATTGCTTTCTGCAACATTGTATGAACATATTTTCAGGATTTATTATAACGTTGTCTCTCTCTTTTTCTTTCTTTTCTTTCTCCTTTTCTCTCTCTTTTTTCCTTTCTCTCCGTGAATTATAATAAATATAATAATTATACAAAAAAAAACCAATTGTTGATAAAAATGTCATTTACTGCCTCTCAACTTATCACGCAATTGCGTAGCATCATTACGATCCGCGAAGATCAATAACTCCAATATCGCGATAATAAACTGCCTCTGAAATAAAATTTTATTAATATTATGCAAGCGATTTACGTTTTGGAGCTATGATCTTCAGCTTTTTCGTCAAGATTTTATATTTACAAGAGGCTTATTGTGCCAAGCATTATGGAAGAGTTCATTAGGCACACACGCACATTTTACGCAGGCTTAGCGATGAGTAACAAAGAAAGCTGGAAAGGAAGCGAAAGGAATGCAGGATGATGAGTGGGAATATATCAGAATAATTGAAAAAGGTCGCAATAAGTGAAACGACTCCGTTATATCACATGCTTTAATTATCAATATTGGAATAATTTTTTATTTTGAACAATTTTCGTATTCTATTTTCTCAATCCAAAATTCCAAATCGTCTCCCGAAAATAAGAAGCCGTGTACTACGAACGTAGCGTAAATAAAATCGGATTTCATCAAGGCAATGATAATGCGAATTTAATTACAACCGTGTGTCGTTTATGATTACCGATCGAAGTCGACGTAAACAGAAAAACTTATACTGTGTTCCAGGATTTATTTTTACTCCACGTTCGAAATATACGACTTGCGAGAGCACGATAAAACGCGATAAGAGCGCCGACCTTCTTCTCGATGACGATCAACTATCTTTGCCGGGGAGCTTGATGTGGCGATTGTACAGAATAACGGGAGAGATCAGGAATCGATGTGGGCTCAGGATATATAAATATTAACATATATCAGATACATCTCCTCCGTGCCTCAAGAATATCGCAACTAAAGCGCAGGAAAAGCTGTGAGGGTATGGAAATGGAAACGTAGGAAGTGAAGATTAGGAGAAAAAAGACGAGAAGAAGATAGCGAGTCGTGAATCATATAGAACTCTTTTTACGGTGTTCGCCCATAGTAAAAGCGGCTAACATCTACGTGGTCTTTAAGAGGACTCGCGTGCTTGGCGTAACTCGCGTAACT